CGTCGTATTTTTTAGATAGCTGTTATAGTTTTGCGCTGGTGGACACTTGTTTGAAGTGTGGATTCTGTGTAACTTCGCTGTCCCTGTCTCTGCCCTTTGCAGCAGCTCGTTAATGAGCACAGGTGCGCCGTTGCTGTGGTTACTCGCGCACACGCTGCAGTATCTCTGTCTGTGACTCACAGCTGCTCCTATGACCTGATTAGTGGAGTCACATGACGCAGCTATGCTTTCTGTCAACAGACCAATATGATAAGGACACTCGCCCCCCCTCCACCCTGACCTCTTCTCACCGTTAATCACTGACTCAGCCAGTCTGTCTGTCTGTCTGTCTAACCCCCAATTTCCACCAACTCCGGAACGGCTGCGTAACGGCTCCGGCACGGCGGCGGATTCAAAAGGTTTCCATTAAAGTCAATGTGTGTATTTCCACTGACTGCGGGACGGCTGCGTTCCGACTCCGGCGATCCGCAGCCCTCCGGAGCAAATACGCAGAGCTTATATTTTTGCCGGATGCCGGAGCGTTGCGCAGCACTACAGGGCAGAGTACGCAGGACAGGAAGTCAAGCAAAAAAAAAGAACAGCCAGAAACAAAATAAAAGATCTGTTTAATTTTCAAAATGAAATACACCGTGCTCATGGCGGAACATATTTCCATACACTACACCTGGAAAACGCCATAAGGGGCGGGGGGGGATTAAGGGCGGAGCAAGTTAGGTGTAAGCGGATCCTTTGTTTTTGTCGAGGCATATGTGTTTAAAGGGGAACCTGTTTTAAAATGACTTTGAGAGACGCTCAATGTCAAAACTAGACGGAAACTAGATGACATAAGAAAAATATGTAAAGATTAATCAAAATGGTTTTATTTTTGACAAAACCTGAGTGAATCACCCCCCTCCCACCACACCAAATGTGTTAGATAATACTTTCAAATGAAACCAGCTCTCCCCTGCTATTGTAGGCTACATTTCAATGCTACGCAATTACGGTAATGATCGCAGTAACCTTGACTCTCTGAAAAACATACTGTATCTGCCATCCACAACTCTAGGATGTTTGAGTCCCGCATCTGTTTCTGCTCCAAGCAGCTGAGGTGAAAAGGTGGTGCGCTTCAGCTGATGTGTTTTTTTGCCCTTATCTACATCTGGGGAACATCTGGTTTGCATCTAGCTCTGGTCTTGCAGTATCGGGCTGTGCATGAGCCTGACAATATGTGTGTTTGTGAGACAACGGCAAGAAGACGCCTCTGACGATACTTGTGCGTTTGGATATGTGCGTGTTTGCGTGTGTGTGCATGACTAGCGCGATTAGAGGATAAATAAATGATTGAGCGAGCAAATGATTAGGAGAAAAGAGAGAGAAGTATGTGCGTGATTGTTTTACCTGGCCAGCAACCAATACTCTCAACGTTGCTTTTGGGTGTTTGTAACTTGAAAATTCATCCGCATGGTGTTATTCTATTAATATAAATATATACGTTGTACATATAGGTTGGGTCTATGTTCCACAGGGATGACGCTGAGTAAAGTACTACTTTACTACTTTACTCAGCAGTCTGGATTTCTTTCTTGACTTTTGCTGCTTCTATTTTGATGAATATTTATATAACCTGTCTACTGTGAGTCCCTGAACTTAATGGAAGGTTAATATGAAATCAGTAAAGGGCCTCTTTAAGTTTGAAAAAATATTGTTCTTTCACACTTCTGTACTGCTCTTTCCAACTCGGCGCTGCTGCTACTGTCTATGGTGCTGCTATGGTGGTGCCCTGCTCTAAATATACATATTGCTGAGGTGTCATAGATGATGAATATCATCCATCCATCCATCCATCCATCGTCAAACCGCTTATCCTGCACACAGGGTCGCGGGGGGGAGGGGCTGGAGTCCATCCCAGCCAACTTCAGGCGTACATAGACAGGGTAAATCCTGGATTGGTCGCCAGCCAATCGCAGGGCCAACACAGAGACACACAACCATTCACACTCACATTCACACATCTACGGGCAATTTAGTCCCCAATTAACCTGATCCCCCAGAGCATGTCTTTGGGACTGTGGGAGGAAGCCGGGAGTAACCGGAGAGAACCCACGCAGACACGGGGGAGAACATGCAGACTCCACACAGAAAGGCCATCAAAACCCAGGGACCTTCTTGCTGTGAGGCGACAGTGCTAACCACCACGCCAGCGTGCCTCCCGATGAATATCATATTTTGACGGTTTCATAAGGTTTAAACTAGCATGTCTTTTATGTCCGGAAACTACAATTATCTGCAACACAATTTAAATACATAAAGGACGACAAAGGACAAAAAAAAAAAAAAAGTAGTTTCCCTTCAGGGGTGTTAGTTTCCTTTCAGGGTGTTGGTACTTTTCCAGTCTAAATTTCAGAACAAAATTGCAATGAGAAGATTATGTTGTTGGTCATTGGTTGCCTTTCTCAGGACGAGCGTGTCAGTGTCGGCCTGTAAGTGCATATGGGTGGGGGGGGTAGATATTGGTATTAGATGGAACAATTCAATTTGAGTGGCCAGCGCTGGCATGTGCTGGAGGGGAGACAGGGACTCGGCTCTGAATGACGTCCCTTCTGCCTGCTTCTTCAGTTCAGTCTCACGGCACCGAATGGGGAGCTGCACCTGTTACCTACAGATGTATGTGTGTACAACTCCAGCTTCACGTGTGTCAGCGTCCTTTTCAATTTTGTGGTTTCGAAAGTTTGAAAGTAGCATTTAGAGCGAGAGAGCAGATATGTGTGTGTGTGTGTGTGTGTGTGTGTGTGTGTGTGTGTGTGTGTGTGTGTGTGTGTGTGTGTGTGTGTGTGTGTGTGTGCGTGTGTGTGTGTGTGTGTGTGAGTGTGTGTGTGCGCGTTGTGCGTGTGAGGGAAAGTGTGCATGCATGTGTGGGAGCCAGACAGGAAGCAACTGGGGCCCACTCTCGGCCGCAAAGTAGTAGTAAAGACTAAAAGAGTCTGTATCGGGGCCCCATGGGTTAAACAGAGGAGGCCTTGAGGCTTGTCACACGACCTGAAAATATTACAGAAATACAGCTTTTTTTTAGATGCAGAATACAAAACGTAATCTAGAGTCGTGTAACGTAAAAGTGACCTTTTTCAGTTGATCAGTCGTTTCAGTCCTATTGGATTTTAGCCTTTAAAAATGTCCTCACGTAAAATCGTTGACTTTCTTTTGGGGGAAGTCTCGTGGCTCTGCATCATTGTTTTTCTGCGCCATCTGGTGTCGTGCAAGAGCTACATCTTGACGCTCGGACGAGCGCACCGTGAAGAACCACAAAATGTCACCTCTGGATATGATCCTCCACTCTGGCAGGCGGCGTGCACTGGCGGCTCTCTCTGCTGGCCATCGAGCATCACTGCAGCTTCAATGTGGCAAAGACAGTTTGCGACATTCAATAGCTTTCAGGGGCTTTTTCCTTAAATCAGCTGATAGATAAATCAGTTCATCCCAATGTGACTTAATATCGTTAGAACCTTAATTAGTTAATTGACACAAGTTTGTAATGCAAAATTCATTTGAATAAATTGTAATGTTAAATCCAAAGCGTCCCGGACCGGGACATCGTGATGGGTTACTCAACCCAAATAAGGGGTTTTACCCCTTGTGTCAGAAACATGTAAATCTGTATATTGTGAGGTAAACATATCACCCACATTAGGTTGTTAAATCAACTTAAAATAATTTAAAATAATTAGCTAACTCTTCCTGAAACAATCAGTTCTCTGTCCGACAATACTATTTATAAAATAACAGCACTCAGATCCCAAATTATTAATTGCAAAGTACAGAAGAACAAAGCAAAACAATTTCTGTGTCCTTTCCCTTTGATGTTCTATTTTTGCTACTACTACTACTAATGTAATCTTAATATAAAAGTATTAATATAATATAATGTTTTCTCCAAATGTTTATTTTTACATTGTTGTATTGGTACTTTCATTCAAGTATAATATATAATATAATATAAAATATCTGAGTATTTATTTGAAAAATTTACCAGTGTTTAACTGTAATAATATTTGCTACCGTTATTTACCAAAAGAAAAATAGGTTAGTATTAGTATAGTAATAGTATTTTTGGGGCTGAATCTTCATATTCTTCTTGATAATCCTCTGTCTGCTAGAAGTCTGTCCAATAGTGCTACTAAGGGATTCATCTGATTGGTTTAACAGCCTGAGGCAGATGTTCTGTGCTGGCATCGACCCGCTAAAATGATGTTAGCGTCAATGCAACGTGGCTGAAATCAATGAGTCCTCCGCCCTCCCTCCGCCCTCCGCCCCTGCTCTCAGACCTGTACTCGACTGCTCTATTTGTTTGTCTTGACTGCTGAACTTCCCGGGTTATGTCACATTCCAGGGAACGTGTCGGGACAGACTCACCTGCCACTGAGAACAAAAAGAACCACACGCGCTCTCTTTTTTTTTTCTCACACATCTAGAGGAATTTAATGTTTCCACTGCAGTCACAGGATGACACCGTCCCCTGTGAGTTGAACACTGCTTGTGAAACCGAGGCCGAAACACGGCCTGACCTCCCACCTATATCCTCCTCTCAAACCTCCCGCCCGCCGCTCGGCTGTCATATTTCCTGGCCCTTCACTGTTGTTGTTTCTGCTTTTATTTGATCCGCTGACTTTCCGGCCCAACCACTCACTCAGTGACACTGTACGTCGATTAACCGGTCATGGCAGTGACATGTGGAATTTTTCATTACCTCGCCCCAGGGGGAACCGAGCTGCCTGTGCCTGTGTATTTTTCTTTCCCACCCCTGCCTATCTCTCTCTGTCTGTCTCTCACACGCTCTCATTCCCTCCGCGCTGTGAGTCGGCCGGGGGGGCGAGCTGTGTTTTTGTTGTTTGTTATTTGGCCAGATGCGTGGGGCAGCAGCAGTAGCTGTCAGCGACTGATCTCCTCTCCATGGCCTGTCGTCCCCCCGGCTCTGGCTCCTACACTGTGGTTATCATCCCACTCAGGACCGGCCTCCACAGCCTGGATGCGCTTCGCTTCTACCTATGGGTGAGGAGGGAACTTTGTGGTTTTGTGTGTGTTTAGGGGGGTTGAGTGTGCATGTGATGGATTTCTAATCAGCTGCATCTGCCTTTTTTCATCTGTGAATATGAACAGGATTTTCCTGAATGAGTGATCCTTATCAGCTGCTGTGTGTGCTCACGCTACTCGCTTTTTCCCCAGTTTTAATGTTTTCTTTGTAATTGATGAGTGTAGTAATACCGTAGAGGCCGTGTAGGTTAAAACACAAACTATACAGTTTCTGTTCAAAAAAGCATATGGTATTCTTTACCTAAACTTAAGCATTTACTGCCTCTCCAGTCTGCTTAAGTGTCACCAGTTTGGTCAATTTGGCCACGGTGCATTCACACGACCTTGTCTACTCCTCTGTAATGTGAGGCAAAATATGTAAATGAGTCTAATGAGTCATTTAGAAAAAATATAATGTATACATTTTCCATTCAATTCAAACAACAAAACAAAACAAAAACAAAGGGTTCTTTACGTTTTGGCTCAATAAAATACATACTTTTCACATAGTTGAATTGAAACATATATGTTACACTTGTACTGTATGCAAACATAAATTGTGCCTTAAATGTGTCATTTCAATTAGGTGCTCTTCAGTGGCGTCGTAGTATACGGTGTTGTTGTAGCCAACTGCATTTTGTGTCTTTCCCATTCGCAATCATGACGATGTTAGAAATACATCTAAATACAATGCAGGCCACGACTAAAGACCTAACCTCAATAATACATATATAATGTAATGTTACACCTCAATACAAAATACACTGAACGTTATAGGCCCTCATTTAGATTTTGACCAAATGATTATTATTAGATTTTGACCAAATGAAGTGGCCACTGGTTTATTAAAATACTGGATATAGGATGGAAGGATGTTAATTGACAGTATATATAATCTATATAATATATTTGGTGTAAAGAAATTCTGTATTTTTCCTTTTTGTAAAATTGTTGTTAACATAAACTGTATTATTCATATAAACGTATTAGAAATGAGCTTCTTTATCCTGAATATTAAAGTTATAGGATCTTTGTTTGCTTTGCTCCATGTACTGAAAGTTTTGAAGGTTGCATGGCTGCAGTCATCCCACTGACACATTCCCACATGTCGGTTCTGCCCCTCACAGCTTCCTGTTAAAGGCTCAATATAACCACGTTTTCCATTAACTGTAAATCTATTATGATACGAGGAGTTGTCATGTGGCAAACAGTCATAGATAGATAGAGATATGAGATAATTATGGGAGACACACAGCTGTAAGAAAGCCTCTTGTATTAAATAACAGAACCATTTGGCACATCTTAAAACCCAGCTAAAACTCATCATTAACTAGTGTTACACGTAGGGTCATGAGTTTCTGATGTCCTTGTAATCCATCAATGTGACCGTCACGTCCTGTCTTCATCAAGCAGCTGATCGGCCACTAATACACGTTTTACGTTCCCAGCTTGTTGTAGCACCTGTAGGCTCAGTGTGAGCCCGTTTAAAGTGCATGTAATGCAACTGAGGGCGGACAATAGGACTAAAGGCCTCCCGCTGCTCTGTAGATTGGCTCTGCTGATGTAAACAAAGCCTTGGGGCCTCTGGAAGACAACAGGCGGCGCTCTGCTGATGAGGCTGCTTCAGGTCAGCTGGCCGGGGAGTCAGATGTTGATGCTTGTTAGTCTGACCCTAGGTGCCATTAAAATACACATGCAAACACTTGCATCCGGACTGGCTGTATCATCAACAAAAAAAGGTTTGTTGGACAAGCCGATAGTGAGGAAAGTGACAGGACATGAAGCGAGTGGACAGGTCAGGCTACAAGACGCTTCCAAATAAAAATTGACACGAACCTGAGCTTGTTTCTTCCCACCTCAGGTTAAGCGTCAGAAGGATCTAGAGAAGGAGAAGGACGCTCTGTGCTCTGGCCTGGAGATCCTGGAGAAGGCCCGTCTCTGGTACCTCCAGCGGCTGCAGGAGAACAGAGCCATGCAGGACAGGGTTGAGGCCAGAACTGGGTTCAGCTCGTACCAGGGTGGCGCAGCAGAGGTACGAGGCGGGGGGGGTTGGGTTTCGGGGGCCTCGTAGACTCCTCTGAACTGCCACTTATGCTGTCCCCCAACGCCGGCCCGTCTGCATCTCTTCAGGACCGGTCTTGCCTCCTCAGGTCTCGGATCCAGCGGGCGAATGGCACTCTGGGTTCCATGATGTGTGAGCCAAACCTCACAATGGGCAGCGACCTTTCTCTGCAGGACGCGGTGGCGGTCAGTGAACTTCGCTGGCGCAACACACTGCTGACTCGGGTAGTATTTTAGGCTCTCATTTATTTTGACATGTATTTGGGGTGATTTTCCCCTTTTATCTGAGCTTTACAAACCAGGGATGCTTTTTTCATAACTCTTGGTTAATTAGCCATATGTTCTTCCCTTGACAGGAGGTGAGCGACAGGAATCGTCAGATATCCATATTAGAATCTGAAAACGACGCACTCGTGGAAAAGCTTGATGAGCTGTAGGTCCACTGGTTGCCAAGACACACGTTTGTGCACACGAACCAGAGGACACATGAGTTATAATGCAAACTTTCATTTCATGTAATGTCGAACAGTTGGTAGTACTTGTAAATATGTATTTAATTAATGAATGACGCTGAAGGATCCATCATTTCCTCCTGTGTTCTTTTTGTTTTCAAATGATTAGAAAACATAGCATTTTTCACTTAAATACTGCTTGCATCAATGGGGAATCAAGTTACAATTTCATTTATATTGTAACATGTATGATGTTGTCCACTGTACGACGGGGTACCACTGCTTTTCCCATTTTTCCTACTCCACTATTTGAAAATTAGATAATTGTTAATCAACATTCCACACACTAAATTACATTATATTCTGTGTGTTGAATATACTGAGTTGCAAAATTGAACCTATTTCTTTAAAAGAAAAAAATCCACTTACAGTACAGTGAAATATAATTCCCAGATTTGAAGCTGTAGTGTGCAGGGCACGGGCCTGCATCATTGTGTGTCCTGCTGTTCCGTTTCCGTCTCTGAATGTGGGCTCCTTGTCTCGACACGTCACAGCAAACTTTCCTGGTGGTCCACTGATCTCACGCCAACTGATAAACTTTATCTGTCTTAGTCCTTCGTGCATGTTTGCAGCTTTTTTTCTCTCCTGCACTGCACAAATCTGCAGCCTGAAGCATGCAAGACACAAATGTTAGGCTCAATATAGAAATCGAATCCGTCTGACTGCTAGTTATTCTCTGCATGGTTATTCCAAGGTCCATGGTGAGCTTTTTTCCTGTCTGTTTGGAGGAGATGTTGCTGATGATCTGAGCTCTTGTGCATTGCAAAAAACTTTTTGAAACTGAAGTATAAACGCATTTTGGGGCAAATGTTTTGACCAATTTACAAAATTGATCACGGGGGAAATTCATCCAAACACGGACTGTTTTAAAACATGCAATAGTTACAACCTTTCTCGCGATGAATCGCAATGCCTGCAAGAAAAGCACAACTGGAAGCTGATTAGAATCAGCCTTTGTGCTTCAGGGGTGAAAGCATCCATTAAGGCAAAGGCTTTCATTTAAGTAGCGTCATGGTCTCTATCCTCAGAGTGCCACTGAACCATCACGCCCAGGGTACCAGCACTTGGATAATTATTGGGTCCTATTCACATATTGCTCAGACAAAGATTTTTGTTGTGGGTATGTCCCTCCTCTCCGGCTTTCAATGCCTTTCTTCCACAACGGCAAAGTACACTTAAGCTGCACCCCTCTCAAGACCCCTTCCACCTAGAATAGTGTGTTTACCCCCCCTTCGCCATACCCCCGAAAAAAAATAAATTGTGGTTTTGGTATTTCTAAAAATCTGAAATTGTGAGATGTTTCCGTGCAGGTCAGCGGAGGTAGGAAGTATAAACACACAAATCTCCCTGATAAGTGCATTCCTTAAGCTATTAGGGGAGATAACTTCCTGAGAACCCGGAGATAACAGCAGGTGGTCTTTGAAGTCAGCTAACTCTTCTATGTTTTGAAGTGTAATTTGTGTCCTTTATGGACTATTTAAGTCTGCCTTTTCAATTCAATGTCCTCTTGGGAAAAGTGTTTTTACTGTAATCAAAAATAATATCTTATATAATTTAAGCCACAGCTGCTGCATGGCCCAATGCTGGATCCTTAAAGTATTCGTATGGCCCTACATAATATTATTATTGTTATACTATGGAGTACTGCACTTGTCCACTGTCCTAAATGGCGAACTGTATATTACTTTCATTTTAATTTTGTTAGATTTGGATTGCAGATTTGGACTTGACTGTAGTAATTCACTTATTTAACTCCATCTTAATGCCTTCTTGGTGGTAAAACCTACATATAAACACACTCAGTACAGAATGATGTACATAATTAAGAATACAATCAGACAGAAGCAATTGTGTCAATTAACCACGCTTTACTTTCTTTAAAATGGAATTTATGCACAACATATCACGGACAGCAAGAGAGTTAGAGCGAGTAAACTATTTCCCCACTGTTGTTGAGGCCAGTTTGGGATTGTCCATCCCCGCTCTCTGTCCTCTGTGGAAGCGGCGCACTGATACGCGCGTCTCCAAGTGGCGTCTCCATCACGGACGCGTTTAAGTCCAGCAGTTTCTGCAGGTGTTTGATATAGTCGATAGCCGCCCGCAGGGTCTCCGCTTTGCTGAGCCGTTTGTCTTCAAACTCCCGCGGGAGACGCTCTCTGAGCCGCGCGTAACCTTCGTTCACGCAGCGCACTCGGTGTCGCTCCCTTTCGTTCCTTTTCCGGATGAATGCAGGCTCAAAGGAATAATCACACACATCAAACGGGATGTGAAAGGGGAAACACGACAGTCGTCTGTAGGGTGACCTGTGGCCGTGCACGGGGTCGAGGTACGCAGCGTCTATGTGGATGGGCAGCCCAAGTCGAAGCGGATCCTTGTAGCGTGCACCGCCGTTGTCCATGGAGAAGCCATGGAGAGCAGGTGCAGGGACATACGGCACGTGCTCCCTTAACTCCTCGTTGTGGTAAGACATTTCACTGAGAATAAAAAGGGAAACATAGATTAAACAACTGTGGAATATATATGTAATTCATTGTACAACCATAGATGCAACTCACCCCGCCAGTCTCCTCACTGTCATCTCGACTCGTCAGCAAGTTTCCTTTTCAATCCCGCCACATATGAACACGGGTCGTTATTGGGATCGTTTGAGAAGTGGGAACTTCTTAATTCAGACTTCGTTGGTCGGTGTGAACACCTGAGGGTGCAGGTATGATGATCCGGGGCGGAGATGCAGCCCTGACTTTCCCATCAAGATAAAACTGTTTACATAACGCGTCCTTCCGTCTGTTGACACCGTGGAGGCAACTATTAACATGAAGGTAGAAGACAAACTATACGGGCTTGAAATAACTGACTCCTTGGTTTTAAATGTGTATAAAACAGCCGATATCACACAAAAAATGTTGTAGAAATAATGCAATAGATGTTATTCCCAGCTCACTTTCAATGCTGCAGCATGCAATTATACGATTTGAAAGACGGATGAGATGCAGAGAAGAATGAACAGAAATCACATATCACATATTATTAATGTCTGAGTTAGAGCTCACACGTAGTTGCATCACATTGTTTTGCAGTTCACATTGTGGGATTTGGCTATTTAAAAACAGTGATGAATATATTATTTACAGATTTCAGCAGAATTCTATCGCAATCATGTGTCCATTTACTGAAGAAATTTGATTTGATTTGATTTGAAGAATTTTATTTCTTGAACATGTAGACACCAAATAATAAAAAATTTAAAAATCAACATAGACGTAGACCACAAAATGAGAAAATACACCTTTTGTTCAAGAAAAGGAGTAGGGGGAAGCAAAAGCTTATAGATACCCACCCCTTTCTTATATTCTCAATTAGTATATATTACTTTGAAGATTAATATCATACATACATACACACACTCACACACACTCTCACCCACACACACGCACGCATACTCACACGCACAAATAAATACAATTTAAATTTCCTTCACTTAATATTTTCACAGATCTCATATTTGATAATAAATAATGTCATAAATGATGATAAATGACTCCATTATTTATGATATCTTTATGATATCATAAATTATGATATATTTATGATATCATCATATGACATTTATGATATCTGATGCCATATGTTGTAATTCCATTCAATAGCCACAGTCAGTTAGACAATCAATTAATCCGTAAAATACGTAGGTAATCCCTTAAAACAGTCCAAACCCTGCTCAAGCCAACATCATTTAAAACATTAAAAGTTGTATTTTTATTTTGGCCCTGTATTACTTATTACTACTTGTTTGTGAATCTGCAGTGTAGGACAGAAGAGCTGACCTGTGATCAGCCAAATACTGCCGTTGTAGTGCGCATGCGCAGACGGAGCAGCAAACCATCATGGCCCCGTTCAGGGAGGTATTGTGCTGGTATGTTGTTGTTTTCAAGGCATCTTCCTTCTTATACAGCCCCAATCTTTTTCTTTAGTAATGGAGCGTCACGCTCGGTCGTTACGGGTATTTCCTTACTCTTATCAAACTGAAATACACATTAATGCTCGGTCTCGACGGTGTATTTAGTTGCAAGGTAGCCAGGCTAACGTTAACATTAGCAGTTGGGCAACACTGGCTGACATTTCGCTCACTGCCAAGAGTTGCAAACAGATCGTTTTGGATCGAAAGATTTTTCTAATAATTGCAATTGGGGTGTCGTTTTAAGCTTAGTGGTTTTCACAGCGGCTGTTGTATTTTACAGGGAGGGATCCATTAAAGCGCCATTGTGTGCAACGTTACGCACGAGCAGCGGCTGTTGAATTCAGGTGACGCAAAGCTGCGCACACACACCTGTTTGTCTTCGTGCGAGTGTGCGCGCATACCGATCACAACACGACGGACTCAAGAAGCTTATTCTCCGGGTGTTCAACTCCAGGATGAACGACATGAACCTGAGTCCTGTAGGCATGGACCAGCTCAGCGTTCCCTCGGTGAGCTCCGGCCACCTGGGTCTGCCCACCTCCCCGACGCACAACCCCATTCCCACCCCAGGTATGGAAGACCCCAACCAGCACGCCCACGTAGTCCAGCTCCATGGGATCTTTTGTTTATTTTTCTCCCGCTCTTTTATTATGGTTCAGGCATGTCAGTGGCCATCCCCAGCCTGGGCCCCTCCCTGGGCTCCCTTCCCTCGGCCCTCTCGCTGATGCTCCCCATGGGTCCGCTGAGTGACAGAGGGGTGATGTGCGGCCTGCCAGAGAGGAACTACTCTTTGCCGCCGCCCCCGTACCCCCACCTGGAGAGCAGCTACTTCCGACACATATTGCCAGGTGGGTTCTCGCTTTGTGTGAGCTACGCCACTCATCTGCCTATGTTCTCAAAACATTCAGTCAGATTCTTTGGGTGAGGATGATTGTTTCAATGGGCCTGTGCCCGGATGGTCTAATTCTAAGGTTAGCTATCCTTCGGTTGCTATGTAACTGAACATATTTAAGTTGAATGAACCATGCATGCTGCTCAGTACATTCAGTTTGGGATTTTAGCTTCAGCGCTGATCTTGTTCCCTGCTTCTTCACTGCTGTAGGTATCCTGTCCTATCTGGCAGACCGTCCACCACCTCAATACATCCATCCCAGTAGCCTTAACATGGATGGCACTCTGTCGGTGGCCAGCAACAATCACTCCGGTCTTGATCCCTACAGTGGCCCTGGAGGCTCACTGGAGCAGGTCCTGGTGCCCATGGACTCCAGACAGGTGAGCGGCCAAGGAGACCTCCGCCAGGCTGGTGCTCATGAGCTGGACTCCACGGGATTGGCCATGGAGTCGCGTGTGAGCAGCCCCATGTCCCCCGACCGGATGGGAGAGGAACTGGCCACGATGGACGGAGTCGGCGTGGTGGTGGTTTCTGACACCCAACAGCAGCTCGGAGGGGGAAGGCAGCCTCAGCCCCATGAGGGATTGACAGGGGTGGACTCATCTGGTGGGGTGATGCCCCTTCACGGACCCACTGTTCTGGAACTACCGGCGGTGATGGAGCAGGATCATATGGGCGGTCGAGTGAGTAACACCGGGGGAGGAGGAGCAGGAGGACTCGGGGAGCAGCTCCACTCAAACGGGGAGCTGAACGTCGTCAGTGTGGTGCTCGCCGGCTCCATGGCCAGCCAACTGGAGCCGGTGTCTCTCCATGGGCACTCTGGGATGGGACTGGAGGCCGTGAATGTGTCCCCCATCACTGCAGAGGTGTCGCTGGGGCCAGAAAACAACCTGGTGCTGGTCAACTCCACCCTGCAGCTGGAAGATTCTACCTCCAACAAGGAGAACATGGTCATTGCCTACACCATCTGTGAGTGTGTGGTTTTAGTTTCTTCAAGGCTAAAAAAAAATGCAATAAATGATCTGAAGAAAAAAAAAATCTACATCTTAAATATTGGGGATTTTTTGCAGCTAGGAAGCTGCAAATGATGCATAACATTATTATGCCATCAAAATATACCACTTAAATAATGAGTATTGTAAATTGTAAAAACCCTAGTCATAGAATTGAAGGGAAATGAGCACTGTGTACATTAAGGCAGCTTTGTAGTATGGAAAGTATGGGTGACTTACACCTGAAGCAACCTTTTAAGCTTTGTTCATTGTCTTCCAGGGTGCACGTTGTGTGAGCGCTCGTATACCTCGGACTGCCCGGAGCACGGCCCAGTCACCTTCATCCCGGACACACCTATCCAAAGCCGGGCTCGCCTATCACTGCCGCGCCAACTGTGCCTGCGCATCTCAGTAGCTGACGAACCACTTGGTAAGCGGATAAACCCCCCGTCCGGATTCCTAGATGGACTTTTAAAACATTGCATTTCATTGTGCTTTCAAGTTTTGTATCCACACGTTGAAGCTCAAAGTAGAAGCACTATTAACATGAATTATGCCTTTTTTAAATTACTGTTTTTGAAGAAAAAACTTGTAATAAAACCTATTTCAGACCGTCAATTAGGTCAGTGATTAAATGTGCCATTGCCTCGCACTCCGCCAGGAGTTTTTGCGCGCGATGTTATTCCTTCAAGGACCTGCTTTGGACCAATGGTGGGCCAGCACTGTGGCAATGTGGACCTCTCTAATTGGCCAGAAAAGGACACGCCACAAATATGGAAGGTGAGTGCTGTGATTCTGGTTGGACCATTTGTTGTCTGGGTCAGTAAAATACCATTATAATCGATATATCTATTTCAGATGTACCACAACAATGTACTGGAATTCTACATTGTGACAACGGATGAGAATGAGTGCAACTGGATGATGTTTGTCCGCAAAGCGAGGTATGACTGAGCTGGAGTAAGATGAAGACTTAAGTTGTCTCCTCCCAAATTGAGTTCAGCATTATCACTTTTACCATATTATTTCAGTCCAGCCAACAGGTAATAAAGACCCCTGTTTGTGCGCGTGTGTGTGTGTGTGTGTGTGTGTGTGTGTGTGTGTGTGTTTAGAACCCGCGAGGAACCGAACCTGGTGGCGTACCCCGCCAACGGTAAACTGTTCTTTTGTACAACCACAGAGATCCACCCGGACCAGCAGCTGCTCTTTTACTACAGCAGAGACTACTGCAGGCTGATGGGTGAGATGACAGATGGTTAGACGTGGATCTGGATTTGAAAGAAGCCACTGATCCACTCGTTCTACATTGATTGACGTTGAACATTCCGCCCTCTTTTATGTCTTCACAGGTGTTCCGCAGGTCCCCGAGGGACAGATCTGCCATTGCGGCAAAGAGTGCTCCTCTTTCTCTGAGCTCAAGTCTCACCTTGATAGTCATAACAGTAACCACAGCCATAACCAGCCTCCCCACAGCCACAGTCCATCGCAGCAGGAGCACTCTCAGCAACAGCAGCACGCTCACCAGGAAGAGAAGCTGACTACTGGGACCTCGAGCTCCTCCTCCTCGCCATGGTCCTGCCACACCCCTGGTGCAGGACAAACAAACAGTGACAACAACAGCGGCAGGGCCAACAGTAATAGAAACGCTAACAACGGTACCTCCAGACCGAAAGGTCAGGGTCATGTACGGGAGAAGAAATTCAAATGTAGCATGTGTTCCCGCGCTTTCCTCACATCCACAAAGCTCAACGTGCACTTCATGGGGCACGTGGGGATGAAACCTCACAAGTGTGAATACTGCAGTAAGGCCTTCAGTGATCCCAGCAACCTCAGGATGCACCTCAAGATCCACACAGGTGTGTACAGTGATAAGTGGAATGATCTTTGGCCATATCTGTCTTTAAATAATGACTACGTTTGAGTAGATCATTTTCGGATGGAGTGAAAACGAGTAGTCCCCTAAATGTCAAACTTTTGCAACTTCTGAAACCCGTTTTCCCTCCAACAGGTCAGAAGAACTACAGATGCACGGTTTGCGAGAAGTTGTTTACCCAGAAGTCTCATGTGGCATCGCATATGCTCATCCACACCGGTGCAGAGAAGCTCAAGTGTGACCTCTGTGACCGAGCATTCATCAGGAAACATGACCTGACACAACATATGTTCTCTCACACACAGTATGTAACTAATTTATTGCATTCTAAATAAAGCTGTAGAACTGCTATTTTATGAGTTGCCAGGCCCAAAGGTTGTGGTCTGTTTTGCTGTGTGAGTGGAGTATTTGTTGTTGTCGTTCTGTACGTAAAATAGATCTTGATAGCATTGAGATCTCCAAAGAAATGACTGTTATGTAAAGCGTGCATTGTCTTGATGCGTTGTCCTTTTCCCACCACAGTGAGCGCCGCATACAGTGCCCAAAGTGCAACAAACACTTCCTCAAGACCAACCAACTGAAGAAGCACATGAACTCTCACGAGGGCCGGAGAGACTTTGTCTGTGAGAAATGCCACAAAGCTTTCCTCACCAAATATCACCTCACCCGTCACCTCAAGATATGCAAAGGGCCCAAGGCAGAAAGAGCGTCTCGCAAGGAGCAGGAAATAGATGATGATGATGAAGAAGAGGAAGAGGAGGAAGATGATGATGATGGTAGGGGAAGAGGTGGGCAGACATTTGTAGGCAATGAAGACTGCGGTTTAGATGTTGGAGAGTATAACTCTGAAAAGTCCCTCTCGCCCCCTCATTGACAACACTGACTTTTTGAGATGTGTCTAGAATATTTATAATTTCTTGTTTATTTATACGCTAAACTACAATAATAATTTGCATCTGTAGTTTTTGCCAATTGTCAGTTACTTTGTCAAATTTCCTCCACAACATCTTACATTTCATCCATTCCATTGGGTTGTCACGTCAGTGTCATTCTTTTGGTCACTTGGGTGGCCGGTGCAACGCGCTTATCGCTGCCGATTCCGCATTAAACTGCCTCTCTATCTCACGGTCTGTTTTAACCTCCCTGATATACACTATAGTCCTGCCCCGAACCAGGAGTTCAATTCCAGAGCCAGTGCTAGGCGAGGAGCTCAGACCAACTGTATGCTGTTGATACCGTTGCACCTCCACAGAGGTCATGTTCCAGTTTGTTAGAGCCAGTCTGCGATGCCAGGGGTCGGTTTGCCTTGATCTCCGCCCTTTGCCTGACGCCCGGATTGCAATGCACCCAATCCCAATGTCTATCCCGGGAAGTTCCTGGGCCCGGATTACCTCTTCTGGACGATTCACTTAGGTTAAGAAATCTCTCATACTACGGCCCTTCCTGTGGAACCACTTTGCCTTTGGGTATCCCCATTGGGAGCTATTTCCCCGACAACACAGCCCACAAGGGCCCTGGAAAACACAAACCACTCCACCACCAAGTTTGTGTCTCATTGGATTACGTAGTCAATACTTTTTTAATACACATTTTACGCCATATGAATTTTTCAGTCAATCAATTATTTCAATAATTATTTTTTTGTCATACTCAATTACATGGGATGAATGGTTGGTAGGAATTTATATGTAGATATATATGTATCATAGTATTTTTGGATAGTAGTCTGGATATGTAATTGCTGTATGGCCATTCATTATTTATTAAACCCAGGATTTCTAATTATTTTTTTTAAATAATTTGGCATGAAAGGAAGTGAGCCTTTTTAAAGCAGCAAACCTCGGCATTGGCATAGTGTGAATGTTGACTTAATGTTATACTTATTTATTTTGTAGCCCCATCATAAATTAATGCATTTTGGGGAATTAAAATGTACAGTTTTTTCATGTTGACTGATTTATACGGTAGTGTTATGAACATGACTTACTACATAAATGACTACAATCGTTTGCCTCCATAGTGGTTCTTAATCATAATCATCGTGGACTGCTCAGAATACACTTGCACACTCTAGCGAAGGTATATTGATATTCAACGAAGATATTCCTTTTTTAAATTGGCGGCTGTGCGCAGTTGATGAGACCGGAAGTACCTGATACAACTTCCGGTTGAATTACAAAAAAATGCAGCGGCGCAGTTATCATTCACTTTAGCGTGGTATGAAATATTTATATTTTCCACACATTGTATTTCGGTCGTATCACTTCTAAAGCACTTGTTTAATGTTCACTGAAACCACACTTCCCTTGTTAATTTTGTTTTTTTTTAGTCGTATGTTCGCTAACGTTAGCTAACTTTAGCTTCCCGTCTTAGCCTAGCAGGTCGGCTAACAGCTCTAACGTTATTTCTGGTCGGTTTAAGTCACGCAGGGTTGTCATGCGGCTTAACGTAACGCGATATGATGTATAAATTACAACAATTTACTCACACGCAACGTATAATTATTAACTTTTAGGATTTTTTTTAAAAATAGCTTACTGCCTGCTTGCTTGCTTTGTCTCAGAATGTTTTTATCCGCTTCTCATCGCAGCCTGGACAGAGCAGACAAAATGATGTTAACCCCGCCGAAGGACGGGATTCCCAGCATGATAGACCGGGCGCTGAGGATGAGGAGGGAAGAACAGGCTCGTCAGGTGGTCCTGGCCTGGGCTGTTCTCAACGTGTCTCTCGCTGGCATGCTTTACACCGAGATGTAAGTTGTTAGACGTTCAACAATGTCCACTCTTGCTAACAGCTCTGCCGCACAGCTTTAGTGTCCCCCCATCTCCCGACTCTTCCCCTGCACGGCGTTTATATGCGTGTCTTTTTCACACTTTTTCAGGTCAGGGGAATTACTGAGTCGATACTACAACATCACGTACTGGCCAATTTGGTACATTGGTGAGGTCCCACTCCTTGTAACTCCCTGTTGGAGTAAAAGACAACTATCCTGTTATATATTGCTCGGTCGTTTTGTAAGTATGTTTAGTCTGTCATTATCTGCTATCTTCCTCTACAGAACTGGTGCTAGCCTCTCTATTTACCCTCAATGCCCTTTTTGACTTCTGGAAATATTTCAAATACACAATGGCCCCCTCCACCATTGCTGTATCCCCTCAGCAACATCACCTACTGGGTCTGAGAAACACAAGTAAGGCATGCTTGCATCCATTAGATTCCTGTTAACACACTTTTAGTTATTCATTTTTAAGTATGGGATATTGAGAATGGGGAGTATGGCTGTTGTTGTCTGTCCCCTTGCAGGTATTCAGGCCACTCCTCCACAAAAGCCGGAAAAAAAAGAGACCCCAGCCCCGGCCCAGTCCTCTCCGATGCAGGGTCAAAGCGTGCTGAGTTTCAGCCCCTCGCGGCCGGCCGCTACCAGCCCGAAGTTCTCCCCCAGCTGTGTACCCGGGTACAGCCCCCCTCTCGGTAGCCCATCCTCCCCGAACAGTGCAGGGGGGCCCTTTTCTCCCTCAGTGGCCTTTGGAAAGGTATGTCCATTGCATCTTATCTTATCTGGCCTCGCCTTGAGCTACGTGATGGGTCAGTGTAATTTGAGACATAATTCTCCCTCCTCGCATTGAGAGCACTGCGGTCTTCCTTTTCTCAGGTGTTGAACTACAGTCCGTCCCCTGGCTCCTCTCCCTATCCGAGCAGCATTGGACCAGCGGAAGGGTCCAGCTTGAGAGCTCGATACCGCACATCCCCCTCTGTGTTCAACTCCCCAGGGAGCAAGGAGGACTACATGCAGGATCTGAAAAGCCTGGAGAGGTTCCTCCGCACAGAGGAGGAGAGGGGTCACCGCAGCCAGTTAGGTACGGTGTGCAAGTAATGAAGGAACTCTATTCTTAATATAAACACAGCAGGACAGGTACAGGCATAGAATTTGATTTTTAAAACATCCAAGTATCTGGATGTTGATGATGGAGGAGATGTATATGTATGTGATCATAGAATGATGTAATTCTCACTATAGGGAGTCCAGAGTCTGTGTCTCCGAGCCACAGCCCAACGTTTTGGAACTACAACCGCTCGGTGGGAGATTATGCCCAGAGCCTGAGGAAGTTCCTGTACCAGCCAGCCTGCCGCTCTCTGGCCCCGTCTGCCCACAAAGATGAGACAGACCTAGGCTCCAAACAGGCTGCCGAGGAGGTCTGTAAATTACCATTGTTTTTTTGCCCGAATCATTATGATTTCCAAATGGAATAATGCCAGTCCAATCTAGTCCAATCTGTGTGAGATGATTGCCATGAAATTGTCTATTTTTGCCTTCCTTATGTAGGTGTGGGCCAGAATCACTACAAGTCGTTCTGTGGTGGACCGCATAGATAGCTGGACAGCCAAACTTAGAAATGTGAGTGTTTAAACATATTTTCTCTACAACATGAATTAATTTCATGAGGGATTTTTGTTACGAATCTTCCACCTACACTTGATTTTAGTAAGAAAACGAAAATAACTCTTATTTGTGTCTTTTTAAGTGGATCAGTGACACCATCTTGGTGCCCCTGGTCAAGGAAACGGACTCCATCAACAGCCAGCTCAGGAGGATGGGCTGCCCCGAGCTCCAGATAGGAGGTAACCCGTTTTTGGACATTTGCTTTGTCCTCGCGCTGCTATTGCTTTGAATGCAAAGTGCCAGCCATGCAGGATTAAGGAATCTAAATGTGTTTTAGGAATGTTTGATTTTTGTGTACAATATTATATAAATGGCATTCGATGAAGATATTATGTTATATCATAATTTTACATATTTATTAAAGCTGGTTATTCCTCCGCCATTGTTAGAACCAAACCTTTTGGGGACATAATAATGAGCATTAGCTCATGGTTTACCTAAAATGTATCACTGGATCACACGCATTTTCAATCTAATGAGAAAGAAAATCTGTAATAGGGAAGTCGTTACTGTGATTTCGATGGATTCTTCTGGAGATCTTTTAATTCAGGCTTGTTTTCACCCTTTCCTCCACCAGAGGCCAACATTAGCAGCCTGAAACAGGCAGCACTGATGAGAGCCTCATCCATTCCCACAATAAACTCTATTGTTCAGTATCTGGACATCACTCCCAACCAGGAGTATCTAGTGGATCGCGTTAAGGGTACGTTCAACAATAATATTATTGCGGAAGACATTTTTGATTGCTCATATGTATAAGTATGTGTTTTTCATGCGCTTCTTGTACTGTGTCCTGTCAGAGCTGGCCCACAGCGGCTGCATGAGCTCCTTTCGCTGGAATGGCGGCGGCAATCTGAAGAACAGGAAGTGGGACACAGACCTCCCCACTGACAGTGCTGTGAGTCGACTCACGTAAACACATCAATCTTGTGGTACTTACAGCGAGATATTTACCCGACTCATCGTTTAATCATTTGGTCCATAGCCTGTCAGCAAATTAAAAAAATGTACACGTCAAAACTTGGTTGACACATTATCACAGGTTGGGACGAGTTAGTGTGACAACTCGTGTAAACTTTTCAAATGGGCTTGCACGGGTGTCTGTTTACAGACTGCTTAACAGTAAGTGCGGGACTTCTGTTCTGACTTGACTGTTTGTGCTGCAAACATGACAGTAGCAGCCTGGGAAACTTTCCTCATCACTGCAGGATCACCAGCCAAGTACCTCTGCTTAATATTTAGTTTGTCCCTTTAGATCCTGATGCACATGTTTTGTACATACTTGGACTCCAGACTGCCTCCACACCCAAAGTACCCTGACGGGAAGACTTTCACTTCTCAGCACTTCAGCCACACCCCCGACAAACCTGGTAAAACCGGAAAAAAAAAATTAAATCTCTGCGATTCTTACTTTTTTTTCCTCTCACTCTTGAGAGAAATCATCTACAGTTATTGTGTCCCGCTTTGTGTTAACTATCAGATACTAACAAGGAGAGCAGCTTCTGCATTCACCAAAGCAGCACCTCCCCCCCTCACTACCAGCTCATCTACCAGGGACATATCTACAATTTACCCAAGGTGAATGCAAAAACAACCTGTGTCCTCTTTTTAAAACAACAAAATTATGGTGTCTATTTTTAGGATCTTCTAAAACAGCCTGTGCTCTTATTGAGGCCTTACCTGCGTTAAATCCAATCCCAAGAGAATTCCGTTTTCTAAGCTGTGCTATTCATAGGTCTCCCTCAGGTGGCCCTGTAAATCAAACACATGATCAGATCAACGTGACTAATTCCCATAAAGGTTGAACTTGCAAACAGTCAACTTTATCTTAGGACTGTTCTTTCAAAATTAGTTGGCATTTTATTGGATAGTTTTCAATAGAAATTTCAATATTTCTCTGTAATCATTTTAATGTAATGATGATAAAACTCATTTCTCTCTGTTTTTTTAATCTTTTTTCTTAAATAATTCAGCCTGGGTTCAATCGCATCAACAGATTCGAAGGTGTGCTGGTCTTTTTATAGACTATAGCATAGAGAACTTTGTATCTAGGGCCTGTCATCCTACCTGTAATCCCAGCATGTGTGATATATCTCCCTCAGAAAAGCAGAGAAATGCAGGTTGTCAGAACCAATATGTCCTCTGTTAACAAATTAGGATGTCTTCCTCCTCTGAAATTCTATGGTTGCAGTAACATTAACTATCTGGATTTCCATTATAGGGCAGGAACAACCTGTTTCACACAATCCTGATGTTTCTCTATGTCATTAAGACTAAAGAGTCAGGCATGCTTGGGTGAGTACTTCTCCTACTAATTTCCTGTAAAAGACTGGCTATTTTGTACAGTCCATGCCATTTCAGAGTATAATAAAATATATAGATTTTCAAACAAACCGGTCATACACCAAAGCATAGATGGCCTTTTGGTTCAAAAAATGGATCGGTTTGGCTTTGCTTGTCTTCTACAGGGTCATTTTTAATTTATTTTTACAGGAGAGTAAATCTTGGCCTCTCTGGTGTGAACATCTTGTGGATCTTCGAGAAGTGATGATGATCATTATCAGCGTTTACCAAGCAACAAAAGGCGCCAAGTGGATTTTTTTCTTACACCAGTTGGACGACCATCTCATTTTAAGGACTGCCCTTTCTGGGCTACATCAGAATTGTCGCTTTACTTAGAAAACAAATGCAGGTCTGCAAATCTCAATTTTTGTATACAAATTGGTAACATTCTGTAATGTAATTTTAAGTTGCACCCCAGAGGGCCAACGGCACACTGCAGAGCTGTATTTTTTAACCTTGTATGATTGTTTGGGATTTTGTATTTTAGAATTTACCAGCATGGCAGCCTAGTAAATAATATACCTCAGATATATCTTGTGAATCGTAAATGGCTTGTTGCCACGAGGCATGTCTTCAAATACAGTTTGTGCAGACTTTAGTTTTTTTTTTTTTTTTTTCAGCTTCAATAACCTGGTATGCAGTTTCCCCTGTAGTGAAAAGATGCTCCTGACATGCTTGAAGTCTGCAGAAATTGGACTTGTGAGAGGGAGTAATACACAAAATATTCACAAGTATTCTGTTATAGCAGAGCTTTCCACAGTAGTAGGCAGCAATGCAACACAAAACCGTGTACAGTGTTGATTATTTTGATATGTGATGGCGAACAAATGAAAAGCCTTTGCCTTACCAAAGCCTTTTTTTCAGAATGTCTTTTACAAAAGCAATGTATCTTGATATCTTGTTACAGTCATTTGTTAAATTTCAAACCTTCCAGATGTTTGCTTGTTTTCGATAATACCCGTTCTTCACAAGACGTTAAAATAAATTTGACATATTGAAAAGAAACTGGAAGGATGGTAATTTCCCTCTGCTTATTATTTTCTTACTATTGTACACATCCACTTGGTGGCAATGTAGCTCATTTTTAAGGTATTTTTTCTTAATGAAATACTCCATAAGATCCACCAGACAACATTATGCTGTGATGCAGTCATTTGAGCAGCAACGTTTAGTTAAATACTTGAATACTGGCTGGTAAATTACATCATTATTAAATAGTTAAGATTTGCTGTGGACAAACTGTTAACCTGGAACAATTCTGTCATAATGTAATATAATTATGTACACGCTGGTGTCGTTAGCTCTCTAAGCGAAGCTTAGAGCCTGCAATTTAGACATTTTATTTTCTCATTGCCCTGTGAGCAAACCGCACTATCACACATAAAGTCAGGTTTGTTTTGTAGTTTAGTGTCCTTTTTTAAAATAAATGACCTCATTTCCCACAAGTTCGAAGTGTTGCGTTCTCTGCTGGGAATAGTAGTCACTTTATGGATTAAAACTACGTGTTATTTGCTAAATAAAATGCATGTGTTGATGGTATGATTGGTTGTCTCCACGTTGGCTACTGTTTAATAAATTGTCACGTGTATCTATCGTTGAAATTTGATTTGGCAGGGAGTGATTGAATGACTTAGGCGAACTACCAAGACCACAATGCATTTCGACACAGTTGCTCCTCCGCTCACATCCGCTCGACTCGATATTTGTGTTGGGGGGGAAGAAAAAAAAAAAGAAAGGACTTGGTCAAACTGCAACGATGTCAGTCCAGGTTGTGGCAGCGAAAATGGCAGAGGTCGAACTCAAAGACGTCCCCACCGGCAAAGACTTGCCGGCTGTCTCCCCTGTGGAGACACCGGCCTCGGAGGGCAAGTCCCTCGCCAGAGGCGACCCACAAAAGGCCGGTTCTTCAGACGCCGCGTCTCCAACAGCGGAGCCCTCCGCGAAAGCCGGAGAAGGCAGCCTGGCTTCGCTCGCCCCGAACCACGCGAAGATGCCCCAGGCGTCGGCTATGAAGCGGACTGACCCCCAGCAGAACGGTGGAGAGGCTTTCGTCAACCGGGACGGCACCGTGGCCGAGGCCCCGCGGATGAAAAAGGCGAGTGAGAAACCCGTTTGGCCGTTACATTAGCCGCTGTGTCGTCGGTGTTATTGGACCTGCTGCTGCAACGAGAGCTCTGTGGGAAAGCTTTGCCTTGTGCGCCGATGCTAACGGGCTAGCCGGGTCCCGAAGCCATGATGCAGCGGTGTCGGTCAACGCTCGTAATTGTGGTTTTCGATGTTAATAACACCGTAGCAGTTGTAATAAGGGATAACTACTATTTTTTTAAAGTACCTGCATAGGTTTCATGTCGGCTGACATGGCTAAATCTTAAGGACACGAACTTAACGCCAGCTGGATAAAAGTGTTTCACTGCTCACTCAAGTTTACTGGATACATTGAGTGTTGTTATTCCCTGTTTTTAAATAAACTCCCCTTTAGTGTTACTGTTTTTGTCGCAGTGGCAACCTGAACATTACACCTTGTATAGATGACAGATGTTACCTTAAAAAATACCACCCAGTGCATTCACGTATAATGGAAGCTTGCGTTGCTGTCTTAGCTAAGTTGGTTGATCATGTATGGTTTGAAGAGGCTTGATGATTGCTATACAGTACAAGGACATATATTAGTGGCGATGTGTGCTGCCAGATGATGACCCTTACTTGATCTCAGGAACATGTATTACCAAAATATGTCAGACATACAAGGAATTTGACTTGGTGGTTGGTGCATAACACCACAGAGTAAGACAATGGACAACAAGACCGATAAGACAACCTAGTGCAAGTAAAAGTTTGTGCAATGAAGACTAGCTGCTTAAAATAATGCCATGGTAATCTCCATTTCATCGGTGCAGTGACACCAAGGGTTCGTGTTCCTCCTCAGACCTAAAGGTCAGTGACCCCTGACCCCACGGCTCTCCTGTCACCTCGTTCTCTGGAGCCTGCTTTGGGGCCACCGGTAACGTTTCTTCAGCGAGTGCGCTCGTGCCCTTGTGCCTAGATTGAGACGTCGGACTGAGCATAGACCGTATTGCATCTTATCTTTTTAGTGTGTCACAAAGTGTTGATTGGCTCAGAGGTGGGCATGCGGGGCAAGGTTCAAGGAATGCACACTTTTGATAAGGACCTCTATCTTTTTAATTAACAATTGACTGTGATTTCCAGTGATTATGTGGTCCAAACGAGTTTGATGCTGAGAAGAATGTGGTTACAAAATGCGCTTTACTCGAGTGTGTTTGTGGCATACAACATCAATGCAAAATACTATAGGTGTCGGTGGTTGTCACCATGACAAATCAGACACATTCCTCATCCCATCCTGTTGGGTCACCGCTAAGGAGGCCCCAATAGAAGCCCCGTGGGGGGAGAGCTGGATAGTACAGGGTGAGAATGGAGTGCACTGCTCAGAGCAGACTGCTTCTCGTATACCTCAGTCGGTCGCAGCAAGCGGGCAAATGGAAGGAGAGCATCAGCAACAGGCAGGAGCCCTGGGCCCACTTTCAGGGGACAACCAGAGAACCGATGTACCGGACAGCAATGGCTACATCTGGATTGTTGAGGAGACCCATTTTGCCTACAGGAACAGGGTATACAAAGTAAATTTCCAAAATACTACTGGCTCATTTTTTAAGCGAAAAGTATCTCTTTTAAATGTACAAACTAATCTCTGGGTCTCTGTCATTGACACAAGGTACTTACACTTGTTACTTACTTATATGACTCAATATATCACTTGCAAAGGCTTTTTTGACAAATGTAAAGTATTTTATGTCGGAATATGCTTTTATTTGGTAGAACACAGTAGTCATTCTTACAATGTTAAATTAATAAGAGTCAAGTGTAGGATATTTTGTTTAATCTATTTTTATTTAAAGAAATCACGGTAATGTAAAGAGTAATTCAAGGCCTCTCTGACTTAATAACAACAAAATAAGGGTTGTTTAGTGAGTAATGTAATGTAAACACCAGTAAGCCCGAGCAATGCATAACATACACTCTAAATACATCGTGGCAGATATCTGCCTATTCTCTTAATTCAAAGACCCATCAACCACTTTTATCTTCCATAATCCACTTTGACACAAGGTAGGCTCCAACCTATTTATAGCAACAAACCATAGTGGAACTCATGGCACAATAACCCTGCATTATTGATGCGAGACCTCCTGGCCCGGCTCATCTGCTGAACTGTGCTGGTCCGATGCGGTAGAGGGTGAGCCAACCCGCGGGACTAATGCAGGCTGCGGTCTTGACCGACCCACTGGCTGTCTTTTTAATCCACGCTTTGTAATGCCGTCACACGAGGGGGATTAAAAGGCTGGTGATCTGTTGGAGGTGGGCCCAGATGTTATCTTCACAAGGCCAGCAACGCGTTTCCGGGTAACCCGCGGGGGCTTCGCATGAATACGTCCGGCTTCTGGGTGCAGGGCGACGCCTCCCGATGGGGAGGATGAGTAAACTGGCAAGCGGTCGCGCGCAGTCGGTCCTCGTTGGCAGCACGCCTATAGGTGGTTATGTATTGACCCCGTAAGGTCACCTGCCTCAGTGGCTGTGTGGAGGCCTTATCTGGTCGGCCCTCTCTGATGCAATGTTATGTCACCGGATAAGCCGGTGTTCGTGGTATCGCTTGATGATAAACAGGCTTACTGTGAACGATGGCTGCTCTATTAGGATGGATAGGTTATGTCTTTCAGAAAAGCAACTTGGGGGATAATGCAATGCTCTACTTTCTCCGCTGTGGGTAAAAGCTTATTGCTTTAGTGGCGCATTGGAAGCCTTTTTGGGAACCTATTGTGTATTTCATTCGGTATTGCTCAAATGTAATCCTGAAAAGCATTTGTGTTGATATTTTCATGTTGAAGTGATTTTAGCGTAGTGGGACTGATTAGTTCCATTCATGGTCTTATGACCTGTAAGTCACTGCTCTGTGGATTCTAAGCATCTTCATGCAAGGTCGTTGAACATCTTCATCTTCAGCATGCGACTGTGTCTGTGTGTATGCGTGTGAGTGCATGCACAGTGGTAATCATGTGCACTTTGCCAGATCATCCAGTCTTATTAAAATCACCGTCAACCTTTTGTCTTCATTTAGACGTTTTGAGAATGTCTGATGCTAAGTCACCTGACTCTATTTGGTTTCTTCTTAAAAACTAGACTACACAAGTACGAGTTGTCCTTTTTAGTAGCCAACATTATGTTTCATGAGACAAACAAAGATGCATATTTTTCAAAACCTCGTACAGGAACATGTAATTACATCATTTGAGTGACCTTTTGAAAATAATTCCCCTGTCCACACTTCTGTGGAACATATACTTTTTGTCTCAGAGATTCAGAATGCCATCTGAGTCATAAGATTAACCCGCCATTAAAAATCCAGAGTCTCGGCAAGTGGAGCAGCGTTTGGCAGCTGTGCAGTTTTCTAAACGTGATTCCATTTGGACTGTGCTGCCTTTACAATGCAGAATCCTTTAGCCGTGCGGTGACACAGGGAATGTGGAACCCCGGCGTGAAATCTGAGAAATGCCCCCAGAATGAGCTAAAGGAGAAAGAGAGAGAGACTGTTCCTCAGTCTTCCACCCAGTCTTCCATGGATGTTGAGCCTAAAGGACGACATACTGCCCCGTCTCGATGCAGCTGTTGGACTGGCCTGATTCCATCCCAAACACTAAGCTAACCCGTGGAGATCACAATGTTTTGTTGAAAGCGCTACTTTTGTTGTCTCACACATTTGGATGGCGGAATCAAAAGCTTGCCACTGTTACAACATTACAAAGACAATATAGAACTTTTGACATATTTTAGGGGTGATGGGTTTGACCTCATCTTCAAATATAGTAAATTATAACTCAATGAACCTTAAACTTTCATGTAAAACACTGGTTTTAATTTCTTTGTAAATTATATTTGTAAACTCCATGTATCTTGATCTAAACTCTGCAGCCTTTTGGAAGAGAGTCTTCTTTTTGTTGACATTAATATCGTTTTAGATACTGAGTGACAGGAGTTAGACTTGAAGCTATGAAGACTATTTCCTTCCCGGTTAAAGGCTAAACACCGCTGTGCTGCTTGTTGTGCTGACGGGACGAGTGAGTTTTGTTGTTAGAGGTCACTGGCATGGAAAACGGTGAGGACCAGGTGTGATCGGGTGGGGGGGGGGGGGGTGTGAGTTATTGATGAGCCATTAGTCCCCGGGTAGTATTTGATTCATTAAGAACATAAGGTGGCTTCAGGATTTCTTGGGCTACTTTAGCAGATACCATGAACAATGTGACTGATGTCTGGTGATGGAGTTAAGAGCTTGTCGAGAGTGAGGATTATGGATGGGTGGGTGGCATGATGGGGAGCGAAAATTCTTGTCACTGACAAGCCAGGGTGTGTATTTATTCATACATATGTGGCAATTAGTGCCCTTTCAGTTGCTGTTGTGCAATGCTTTTCAAGGTGTTGTGTATTTGTTAAGGTGTTTCATTCATGCGGTGGATCTAATGTGTTCATGTTCTTTCCGCTGGCATCATTCAAATGGTGTCCTTGTATTAGTCTTTTTGTTGAGGCTAAAAGGTAAGTTCTTTTTGGTGCAGCACATCACAGTGTACTTGATCAAATAGCCTCTGGCCTCAACACCAGTCAATGGCTGCATCCAGCAGAGGATCAGCGGGTGGGCCCTGCCACTCATTGAAGAGGGTGTATATCGGGCCAGCTTTCGCCCTGAGTGCACTTAGCTGTGGTTTATTGCAGTTTTTAATGACCAAAGAGTGAAATCCTGATTTATCATGGTCTCCTGCTGGCGCTCTCTCCCCCCTTGTCCTCGAATCAGCGCGTTGCAACCCTTTTTCCATTTGGGCCAGAGACTACTTCAAATGAGCCGCGGCTCGTGACGGAGCACGAGTGGAGCCTCTCGTAGTCACTTCTTCCTTCTAACATTCGCACCTCGTGGCCTTCTGAGTGTCGTAAGTGTCAGCGGCAGAGAACAAAGGAGGCCCGCGTGAGGTCCCGCCTCCCTAACCGTCTTCATAGAGGCCGACTCAGGGAATGGAGTGTTGGAACAGGGTG